CCCCCCCCCCCCCCCCGCCATAAACGCAAAGCTCCTACGACGGGCCACATCACTACGATCCCCGACTCTTTTCGGTACGGGCGGACTGTCGTACTTCCAAAGGAGCCACCGATGCGAACAGCATGCGATGGCGGCAGGAATACTTCAAACCCAGACAAAAAAAAACACAAGACATGGACGACAAAACTGTCTCCCCCAGTTGACAACGGTCCACTCCCAAGAAATGTAGGCCGGGAGTAAGTATTCTTCCCGTGCATCAGTGGGGTTACCTCGGATGCGGCCGTGATGTCATTATTTCCGCAGTACAGCTCCATCAAGTTGACCAATTTCGTCAGCCCGCGAAGACTGCATCGGCGATGGCACGCATGACGACGGGGCAAAAAGCGCACTGGTGATGGCGGTTGTTTGTGGGGGGGTACGTGGAAACAGGTAGTGCTTCCCCAGGATGTGTTGAGCCGTTCCAGGTACCCTTAAATCATCCAATGGATACCACAAAAATCGAGCCACAGCTTGTTGTTACTGCAAGGGACAGGAAGCCATACACATAAGGATAGCAACACCTTGGTCAGAGGAGAGGTCAATACACACATTCACTCGAATGTCGCAATACGATGCCAAAGTCCTGTCCGTTCTGTGGCTGTGGAACCGAACGAAAAAAAGTAAACCTAGCAGCTGGTGCTGTTTTTTTACTTGGTATTCCGCTCGGTACGAACCAAACGCACCCATGGGCCCTTGTCTTTACCATGGGTGAACGCTAGAAGCATTGCACTTTAGGAAAGCGGCACTTCAGCCTCTTCTTTCAAGCACCGTCATATTTTGCGTCAGATACAGCTCGCCCTTGTTCGGATTGCAAAAGACCTGAAAGTCTGCGCATAGCCTTGCGCGTACTTCCATTCGGCCCTCGACCCCTCTAGCCCTAGCCCTCTACTCACTTGTGCAGCAGGTTGCTTTCGAGTGATAGCTGGCTTAACCCCGTGAGTCCACACAGGGGATGGAGGTCGGAAATCTGGTTGTAGCCAAGATCGAGCTTCATGAGACGCCGTAGGCCAGCTAGCCCTCGAAGCCCCGCGGTTGTGAGCTCGTTACCTTCCAGATTGAGTTCCTGTTCGTGCACGGACCCAAACATGACATGGTGAGTTGGTGAGTTGGCCTGTGACCACTTAGATAGTTTCTTTAGGCCCATCGGTACGAGATATTGGGGGACAGCAAGTACGCAATATCCTCTTCAGCGTAGTGTTCGTGAAAAAAAACGTTGTTGGGATAAAGAGGGAAAACTCTCCGGAAAAAAACGACGACCGCGGTTTAGCTATTACTGGCACAGGATAACAACGGGGTGAGGTCGGAACAAGAATGCTCCAGGGAAGGTTCGGCGAGTGCGGGATGCTTCTTATTGGTTAGACGCGCACTGATAAGAGTCTAGGAGAGACGACTGCGCAAAGGTATCCCGTCTGAGCTGCGCCCCACCCCGCCTATTCTCTGGCCCCGGCGTTCTGCGTCTACGATGCGGGCGGCGCCCCAGACCCAACGTGAATAGTCCTGAGGACTTTAAAAACCCTGGGCAACGTGCTTGTGCGCTTGATTGGAAGTGCGATGATGTTGGTAAATGTAATGTACGGAAGGGGGGGCGCACCTCAAGGCAAGCGCAGGATCTCAGGGGCGCAGTGTCGTGCAGTTCGTTCCCAGAGAGATCAACCACCCTTACGAAAACAAGCCGCTCCATGCCTTCCAGCTTGTGCAGAGACAGGTTGTGAAGGTTCACCAACTCGATATCCTCTAGCAGCAACCCCGTCGAGGGGTGCGAGGGGCACGATGAATCCGTCACAGCAGCATCCTTGTCGTCGCCGCTGGCTGTTTCCCCATCGTTGGTGACACCGCCGCGTGTTACAAAAGTGTTGCATAAACGTAGTTCGCCGACACTTCCGGCTGCTGGAGCCGACCTCGGCCTACCGGCGCCGCTATCACGATCACTGCCGCTATTGTTCGTTCTGTCTGGATCGGCAGCTACGATGCTAGAGGCGCTCTTGTCCCGCGATGCCATTTTCGACACCGTCGAGGGATTCAATGGCCCGCTACTTCTTCTATCTCTATTCCATGCTTCCGCGTCCCACCCGTCCTCCTCCTCCTCCTCGCCCTCCGCATCCTCCCCCTCCTCCCCCTCCTCTCCCTCTTCCTCTTCCTCTTCCTCCTCCTCCTCCTCCTCCTGCTCCTCCTCCTCCTCCTTTGCAGACGAATAAAGGCGTTGCTCCCAACCCTCCTCGTCCTTGTTCTCTATCGCAGCAGAAGCCTCGCTTCTGCTCCTGCTTCTCCGACCCCCCGCCCCCCTCCCCGGAGGGCGGTTCTCCACTTCTGCCGCCACCTTCTGGCTGTGGTCGCTACCGCTACTCATGCTACTGCTACTGCTGTCGCTACCCCGGGCCATTTGCGGTCCTTGGTATCCTTCATCCTCTCCGGATGATGCGTTGGCCAAGCACGGGCCGCTTCTCCTGGTCCTGGCGTTGACGGCCTGAGAGGCGCGGTGCGGCGTCGAGCGAGGCGCTCTTCGTCGGCCGTTACGCCGCAGCATGTCCAGCGTTAGACTGCGAGCGTACCGCCAGCGTTCGCGTGTCGGGTGGGACGGCACTCGGTCAGTTAACGAAGGTGCTAGATTACTGATCGACGGTGAGCAGGAAAACGCCCTCCACAAGGCGTGTCCATCTCACCAAGTTGCGAAATGGATGTCCAGTCGAAGACTGGTATTATCGGGGAGGTTCGATAAAAAATGCTCTCTTGGAAGAAAAACTGGTGTTAGTACTTCTGTCTCTAACGGGCTGGTTTACGTTGGATACTGCAGCCGATGTCGACATCCGCATGGCAGATGACAGAACGAGAACCATCTTTTCGCTTGATTGAACGTCGCGAGGAACGCCCTAGCAATGAGGCCGACCAGAAGAGCTACTGCGGCCCGTGTTGCAGCCTTCTGATTACCAAAAAGAATTCAAATCGAAGACTACAAACAACAACGGCAAACCGTCTGGGTCTTTGCGCTGGCCTTACAAATATCATTTAGGATGCCTGTTCTGAGAAGGAAGTCATTTAGAAAATGTTCTCACGTGCGGCAGGCGTTGTGCAGGGACACCTCTCTGTGCGTGACCGACTTCCCATCCAGCAACTCCAGGCTAGGGATGCCCCTGGGTTTGTTGTTTTGGTCCGTGCAACGGCAGCAATAGCGAAGCACGAAACATCATGGCTGTTATCAAGGCGGCGCGCGCCATCTTACGCGTATTGTGGTGTAACCCAGATTGAATTTCGTTAAATGCACCTGGGGCTCTGGGAGAAGGGAGGGCAAGCAGAGTGGAGGCAGGGTAGGATGGGGCTCGGGAATGCCAGAAGTAAAAAGTGGACGATTGTGGGCAGCATCTCGTGACGGTGGTGGTAGTGGGCAAACTTCACTTGAAGAACCCAAAGCATTGGACATTCATCGACGTGGGATGACACCTTCCAGCACCCCCCAGCACGCAATCAATGCTCGATTACTTTCCAAGCTGTCCCTCCCTTAACAAACGAGTCCAGGTCTGCACGTTCGAATCAAGCCGCCCATTTCGCCAAAACAACAAGTCTGTACAGGTACACCGCACCTGATAGCCGCGCCGCGGTACGTCCTGGCCGCCCTGAGCGGGTTCCCCCGCATGTCAAGGACAGTCAAGTTCGGGGCAATGTTCCACAACGCCTGTGTTTTACGGGTTGTGTCATGGTGTGGAACACCGAAGGGGATTGGACCAAATCGGATCAGACCTATCTGACTAGTGCCGTCTCGTCGTTCCACGAATACTGCCTCTTGTGGTTGCAACTTATCCCCACCGTCTTTTCCTTCTTGGGGTCACACGTGAGGATCCCTCTGCGGTACTTGGTTCCAATTTTCACAATTGGATAGAGAAGCATTTGCTCGTGTTTGGAGCGAATACCTTCATCAAACGCCGATTTTCTTACCAAACGCGTGTTTCGGACTTTTTGACAATGAAACACACGATCTTTGACGAAGAACAGAAGATTGTTGCGACGAAGTGTTCACGCAATGAACAAAAGCGTGCGGCATGCTTGTGGTCGCTTGATTCGGAATAGACCAACTCTACCTGGCCCCCCACCTTCAGGTCATCCAAGTTGTGCAAGATGTTGTTGTTGAAATCCAACCGCGTCAAGGAAGGGAGTGAGATATCCGCGGTGGCCGGAGACGCGCACCCCGTTTCCCCCTTGTCCTTCCCCCTCCCACCGTCCGCGTCCCCGCGCGCCGCCGCCGCCGACGCTGCGGCTGCTTTGAAAACGGCCGCTTTCCTCGGAGTCTCCTCCGACGTGCGCAATCGCTCGTATCCAGTATCACTACGCGCTACTGCTGTGTTCGGAACGATTGTGGCGCCACTGCCGCCGGTGTGGTCATCGGGGGCCACAATGGCATCGCCGTCTTCGTCGGCATCAGGGGTCGCTTTGGTAGTGGTGGCGCCGCTGTAGTGCTGCACGCCTTCGATGATGTTATACCCCAGGTCGAGGTGCCGGAGGTGCGTCAAGCCGGCCAGTCCATGGAGGCAAGAAATTTCGTTAAAGCTCAGGATCTAAAAGATCCGGCCAGGGGAAAAAATGAACGCCGGCCAATGGGCAGGACAAGTTGGTCGGGTTTAGCGTGTACGATTACGCTACACTGTAGTTGGCGCACGGAGGGTGGTCGAACGTCAAGAGGGAACAATCCAGTGGTTGAGACCTCTTGCTTCTAGGGAATTGTGAGACGAGAATGCTGTGGGGGCCTTAGGTATGTGTACTTAGATTTACATGTGGACACGTAGTAGTGGTTCTCGTGCGGTACAAGAGATGAATCGCACGTTGGATTCACAAAAAAATAGTCAGCGGTCTCGGAACCGGCTTGTTGCGCGCACCAGCACTTTGAGGTTGCGACAGGCCTCGAGACCCTCGATCGTGCGGACCCCCTGCCCATGCAAGCTTAGGCGAGTCAACATGTGGCCAGGCCTAGCGCCAACGGCGCACGCTGACAGGTGTTCCAGGCGATCCCCTGGAGCGGCGGACACGCCGCCACCGCCGCAGCCACCCAAACCCACGCCACACCCTTTGCCGTTGTTCGAACCGGGCGGGATGCCCAGGGCCGGAGCCGACGGTTGCATCCTCAAGGCCTTCGAGATTCCGGCCTCGTATCTGAGACGTGTAGGAGGGCGACCATTTCAAGGGAGGGGCAGCGGGATGCCGGTGAAGGAGGGCGGTGGCGCAGCGGCTTGTCGGTGTTTTTTGCCATTCAAAGTCTTGGTCGGGGTTGCCGCGGGCTCGGTGGTCGGGCAATATAAAGTGTATCCCGTGAACACAAACGCAATGAGCAACAATAAAGCGAAGCAAACAACATGCGCATGCTGCCTTGGCGTCGAAAGAGCAGTTTTTAACGTCTGGTTGTTTTGGGGTAGAGGGGGGTTACTTTCTTCAGAGTCGCACCCGAAGGGCGCTAGCTTTCACGCAGAGGCGCTGACGCGGGACGTTCCCGGAAAAAGTGTCTTTGTCGAAAGAAGGGGCTCTCTCTAGACTACCTCTAACCTCTCTGTACTTGCCGCGAACCCCAGAGGCGAAAAACGATTAGCACCCACTGCGAAACCACAAAAGCTCAATGTTTCCTTTACGGAGGCGATTGACCCTTCGTCACTGCAGACTATTCTGCTGGGGCAAGGACAAGGCCTATGGAATGCATCGGTGCTAGTGCACACCTTTGCATGGTTACATGCTTGAGGTGTTGCTTGCAGTTTCGCAACATGATATTCTGCTGTCTCAGCAATTTTCGTCCGTTCTGACTCGCGCTCGTCGCGTCCGGATATTCTCTCTCGACTTTGCATACCTAGTTGCATAGGAGGCCGCGTCTATCTCGAGCTGCCTCGCTAACCTCGCCAGGGGGATCAGAAATGGCAGCACGTCCGCTCCCCCGGACGCCCTCCCGCTGCTGCTGGTGCTGCCGCCGCCGCTACCGGTCGCCTTTGCGGTCGAGGACTTCGATGACGTAGAAGCCGGCAGACAGGAAGATGGCGAGGAGGGGGAGGAGGCGAGGGAAGAGGATCGGTAGGATGGGGCCAGCTCGTGCCTCCACTTGTTGACGCGCTGGCGCACGCCGTCCTTGATAGCTTGCCCGTCCTTGGGGGGCAACAACGGAGGGGGGCGAGAGAACATTGTTTTTTGTAGGGATGCGGGGGTCTTCAATACTCTGGAGGCTACGACCATGCACGAGCTAATGTACATCACTTCCTCCCCGGCTTTCCCTGCCTACAGGCTGCATATTTTTTTCTTTTTTTTCCTACCTTCCCCATCTCGGGCGAGAAGTCGAACTCGATTATGTACTCCGGTAGAGCCAGCGCGGCGTCCAGCACATGCCATTCCTTGCGACACGCGTGTAGTATCGTAAGTTCAAGGAGCGTCAGAAAAGCGTGAGTATATACAGGTGTTGTGTTGTCGACGAACAACGCACCCTAAACACCTGACCTCAGCCGGAGACGTAATCGAGTCGCCCCGTCTCATACAGACATATGTCGTCGGTTCTCGTGATGCAGTACATTGATGCATCACCGTCAAGTTCAACACGACGCCGTCGTGAACCATGAGAATTGGAAAGTACAACGACTCCAAAAGCTTCGAACGTACCCCACGGTACACGGTTCGGCAACAACACAGCGATCCCATCATCCAACGGTAAGGTCTACGCGTGGGTACCCGAAAGGGACACCTCCAAAAGCTTACCTGACACCGAGATGGCGCGCTTCCCCCCTCTCCGTTGGCATGGCCACCACCGCCGCCGCCCGCGCTCACCCCATCCTCTCCGCTAACGCACACCGACTTGTACCCCGTTGCCCAGGCCTCCCTCAGCACTCCGGGCCGGGGAGGCCTCCTGGTGGCACTGCTGCACCCTCCCCCCCCCTCGCCGCAGCCCGCGGACGACCCAGGCGGTAGACGGCGAGTCCGACCCGTGTACACCTTGACCACTAGGACCCTGTACACCGGCGGCACGAACGCTTCGTTCCCCAGCCCAACCGAGGCCGGCGGCGCGAAGACGACGGAGTCCGAGCTGGTCCTGTTCGCCGCCGCCGCCCCCGCCGGGGTAGCCGCTTTTCTGCCGGGAATGTCGGCCTCGCACAGGTGGGTGGAAAGAACGATGGACTGAGCCCGGCAGGGGGCATGCTCTTCCTCCCTTCGGCATCTGTGGGAGACGTCACCGCCCGAAGCGGCGGTATGTCTTCCGACCGTTACCCCACCCCGCACTTCTGGTGCCGACGGCTCTTCAGCGGTCGCGGTGTTCCCGGCGGTGCAGATGTCGGCCTCGCTCCAGTCCGTCACACGAAAGCCATCCTCGGCCAGCTTTAGGAGGTCCGGCTGCCAGCTGTCGTGCGCGCTGCCACCGCCCACGCCGGCATCGAACGCGCCGCCGGCGCCGCCGCTGTTGCTCCAGTCGCCCCCACCGCTTGGTTCCCTGCTTCTGGCCGTCCTGCCCCTCCCCTCCGTGAAAAACAGATACTCCAGACTTCGGGGGGAAGATGACGGCGACGACGAGGACGATCGCTTGTCGCTCTTCTTACCCCCTCCCTCGGCGGCGGCTCTCGACAAACTACCGCCTCCGGGGATACTGCTTGGTAGTAGATCCCCGCTGGCAGCGGAGCTACTCCTGCCGCTATCGGCAGCGCCGGCGAAAGAAGCATCGACACCAGTTGCCGCCGTCTCGTCGGCCCGGATCGGTGATTCACTCGGGTGGCACGGCGGTGAGCTCTTGCTGACACTGCCGCTGCCGCGTTTCTTGGGCTCCTGGGGCACCGATAATAACGGGCTGCGCCAAGCCTTCCCTTCCGTGGAGAGGCCGGCCCCTCGACGGCACTCTTCCCCGTCCTCCCTTGTGCTGTCGCCGGTCGAGACTTCGTTTCCCGCGAGCTGATGGTGTCTCCCGACGCTCGACAAGCCGCAAGTCGGGGTGGGATCGACGGCACTCGTCTGTGGTGGCGAAGAAGGACAGCCGGAGGAGGAGGAGCCCCCTTCGTGCTGAGAGGGACTCGGTGACTTGTCGACTAGGACATTCGGTGGGATCGCCGTCATCGGCGTTGTTCCGGCGGAGTTTTCTGCGGCGGAAGGGGTGGTTGATGTCGCTGGGGCCTTGGCCTCCCGAACGCAACGCTCGAAGCGGTTCTTGAGGAAGCGGTTGTGGATGCGAATTACCCGGGAAACTTTCACCCCGGAAGCCGACCCCTGCCCGGCTGCCGTGATCTGCGAGCCCAAGGAAAAAGTGTCAGCTCTATCTAGCTTGAAAACAACGATGGAGACTCCCGAGGTCTAGGGAATCGGTCATAAGACCAATACCTGCAAAGTAGACATGGCAGATAGCATCCCTTGAGAGACCAAGACGCAGCAACAACACACACATGTGTGAAACTGTTGGCACCAATAAACAAACTACAACTCTCGCCTAGTTCGAAATACCTCCCCCGCCCGTACTTGAAGTTTAGTCGTGCCTGCCGAAAGATAAACGTTTGGTTAGCCGGGATGCTCAATCAGCCCATGGTATATCTGGTTTAGCACAACAAAAGCAAGGATGATAACCACCGTCTGGTTCATCCTTGTGAAACTTAACCTGGTGCAACAAAACCCGAACGTATGGCTCCGTACCGGTATTGCAGGAATGCGAGGTCTACGGCCTACCGACTACGGCATGCGTTGACACGAGAACCCCCCCCCCCATGCACGGTCGACTGGCTTACCACGCGTGACTTGACAAGATCGGCGCAGGAAGAAAACCAGACGTCACCCGGTCGGCCTTCCTCGAAGCGCACGTTCCCTCCTGTGTCAAACTCCAGCATCAGCTCCGACACAGCTCGCTTGCATGCCCGCCCCACCACCTCTTTGAATACTCCCAACTGCACCGTCGTTGAGGCCGGGGCGTCAGAAAAGCACGCTTGAAAATGACAAGAAGACTTGCAGAGGTCTGCATCCTCAGAGGGTGATCTCGATTGAGTGCGACGGAAGCAGGAAAGGGAAAGGCGATGGAGGAACTACATGTAGTCGCACGGGGCTAAAAATCAATGAGCTGAACACACATACCGGCGTTGCTCGAGAGTGTCCAGAGTCATCCCGCAGCCAAAACTTTGTCGACGTCTGTGTCATCCCCACGGTTCCAACATATGAGAGAAGCACTGGCTGGGCTAACGCCACAGGGCGCCCAGCACACAATCTAAAGCAAAAATTGCTAACTGCGAGCGGTAGCCGGTCCCCCCCCCCCCCC